TGGGGAGAGGGTTTGGCAGATTGCAGTGTTTGTGGAGATGGGATCCCTGAAGTAAGCTAGCTAATGAGACTAAACAAATCCATGAGTTCTAGATTCATCAAGAGACCTTGCTTTGAGGAATAAGGTGGGAAGTGATCAGTGAAGACACCCTCACGTATATACACCAAAAAGGGGGTGCAGGATGATAAAGATGGGCACCCAGCATTGATCTCTGACCTCAGTCAGTAAGTACACTCACCAATAAACAAATAGACTAGACCATTTTTTACTGCTAATGGCAAGAGGACAAAGTGAGCTAGTATTTTCCCATCTCTGCAGAGGAGAAAACAAGTCACTTTGCCCTCTGAACCCAGCCATGCCCCAGGGATTTTGGAACAAAGTCTAATGTCTAGTTCATTAAAAAAGGAAGACAAGCAACTTGCTTGGGGGGGAATATGACTCTCTGTCCCTTCTTATATTTAAGTTGTCAAATTTCCAAACACTGAAGTCCACAATTCATATACCCAGCAGTTAGTACAACTCTGTGCAGGGCTCCTGCACAGACTGGCTTGAGCCAGACTATGTGTCTTGTTAGGTGATGTGCCCACCCTGCAGGTGGCCTTGGTCCTACTGAATAGTCTGTTAGAACATACAGGCCTGAATTGCTGTTGTCAAATTCCTCATTACTCATGACCATGTGGTGGTGGAGAGGGTACAGTAGATCCATGACAAGAGAACCTTGGTCTAGTCTGAGTTATCAGAATGAGGATATAGCATTTGAACAGGGCCCTGTGTCATCCAATATGGTATCCACTAGTCACAGATGGCCATTTAAATTCAACTTGAATAAAGTAAAATACAGCCTTCAGTTTCTCAGTCATGCCAGCCACATTTCAAGTGCTCTGAGCAATCTGCTTTTGCATAGCACCAGGCAATGGGGACTAGAGATCAGTGAGTAACCGTGGAGGTGACGGAACCTCATCTGGATGACACAGTTCCAGGCCTTGCTAGGACTCCTCAGAGCAATAACAAAATATTTGCAATATAGTAAGATGTCAGCACTGGTAGCAAAAGGTGGTGAAGAATATCTTGGATATGACATTTCATAGTATCATCAGAACTCTCCCACCCCCAAGCCACAAGTTGCAACCAAGTGAAGAGATATACATGTTGCTGAGTGCTACTGGGTGTTGCGAGGTTTATCTACCTCTTTCATAGGATAAAGGTATGTAATCTGCTATTATATAAAGACCTAAAGGAAGTTGGTTGTGATAGCACATGTCTTTAATCCCAGCATTGGAGTGGGGGTGGGAGGAGCAAGGGCAGATTTCTGTGAGTTTGAGGCCTACCTGGTCTATATAGTTAGTTCCAGGACAGACAGGGCTACATAGAGAGATAAAGTAATAAAAAAAAAAAGCTAAATAATGAAATAATGGATGATATATATAAAGTGTGGAACTCCCTTTTAAACCAGTAGTGAGTTCCTTTCTACTGGTTGCTAGGAACTGGATTAAAAGGCCCAGGAGCTTTGCCTCATTCATTCATGGTATAGCTCTAACCCAGCACATCTTCTTTGCTTGGTTATTAGCAAAGAAGAGGCTTGTAAGCCCTAAGAATGATCAACAGGGCTTGATAGGGGGCCTCACAGATGTTTGAAGGCTCTAAAAATTTTATTATTATGGATTTGTCTATAGGTTTCAATAAAGAATATTAATAATAGAATGTAAAGGATCTGAAGTTCAACTGGTGAAGAAAGCAGAAAGCCAGGCCACCAATCCCAGGCCTTAGCAGATTGCACTCCTGTGCTACAGCCTGAGGAGTCAGTGGGAGTAGAGGAGCTGGTGAAATCAAGAGACGAGAGAGAGAGAGAGAGAGAGAGAGAGAGAGAGAGAGAGAGAGAGAG